CTTTTCCATGACATTCTAATTTATTGAGATGCACCTGTATTTCAGAATGCGTTATTGTAATAATGAAGACAGGTGAACTCTATATAAACATAGCTGATTTTGAACAATTTGGCCGACAATTCAATAAATTGCTTTTATCGGCCAATACCGATTATTGGAAGATACATCAGTGCATCTCTAATGTGTTAATCATTGCAAAATATGCAAGAGGCTTAAGTCCCTATCCATGTTACAAACGTGTGCTTTTAAAAGGGGCCATATTGTACAATTTTGGTATCTCTTAAGTCCACTTAAAATGTTACTCAAGGTTTCTTCCACAAAGATGGAAGAACTTAAAAAAAATTATAAAATACATTATTTTGTGTAGAAAGTCAGTCATGCAGGTTTGGAATGACATGCGGGGGATTAAACGATGATTTTCAATTTTAGGTGAACTATTCCTAAGACTTCTATATGTAAATGGAATATATATAGTAAAAAATGTATGATGAAAACATTTTTATTTAAACATTAAGACTGTTATTCGATTAAAATCAAGTCAAATTAATTACATGATATTCTGATTAATTCATTGCATTTATCGATACTTGCTAAGAAAAGCCTGCAATGAGGATAATTACTTCATAAATACATTATTTATAGGGTTGGGTATCAAGAACCGATTGCAAATTTCCAAGAACCGTGTATTCGATAAGACACGTGCAATAACGATTCCTGCGTTCATATTTTAATGTGATTTTAAACGATTTAAGTGCAGGAAGGGAAAGAAGTTGCAGCGCACACATCTGAAACGCGAGCACAGAGAACAGCTGTCCCCTTCCCTTCCTGCAGGTTCCCAGGACTGACTTCTCTTTCATATTTACCGACACAAAAATACGTCAGTATTTCATCATAAACACAGCCATTTTTTGTCGTAAGTGAACAACACTTTTTTGTTAAAACCATAGGCAAAGTTCCTCTTGTAGGTCTAAGTGTTCTGTAGGCTGCTGCTTTTTGCTCATATTATTTAGCTGCAACAGAACGCTTTGTAAAAAGACAGTATAAATATGTTTGCCAACTATTGTATATATATATATATATATATATATATATATATATATATATATATATGATAAAAATTTGGTTTTCATGATATGGCCCCTTTAAGACACACTTCAAACTGACGCACAACACAAACACACTCCTTCTTACCCCTTTAAAGCTGGTGAGGTGCTGCTGTGGTTCAGTGTGTTCTCTCTCACACTGCTCACACACAATCACTGAAGAATGACTTGAGCAAACAGACACAGCGCTTGTGCATTCAGACACAACACTCAGCATGGACTTCACAGACAGAAAGAGACAGAGAGAAGAGAAAGGGCGACAGTCACAGATGAGTGCGCTTATCAAGATTCAGTGCATTTTGATGTAATTAACACTGATGGGAGGCTAAGAAAGTTAAAACCATAAAAACATAAAAAAGGCCAAGAAAAGGGTTGAGAAGGGTGGTGGACAGATAACAGTGAATGTGAAGTGAACTTCAGTCTTTCTTGATGACAACAGCAAAACTCAACCTATTTCATCATAGGAGTCTGAGAGGAATTTGAGAAGGGGGAACGATCAGCAGAGTAGTTCACCCAAAAATGAAAATTCAATAATTATTTACGCACCCTAATGTCATTCAAATGTATGATTTTATTTTCTCCATGGAACACAAATGGAGAAATTCTGAAGAATGTTCACTCTGCTCATTTCCATACAGTGAAAGTGAATGAAGAACAGTGACTGGTGGTTGGTTGAGCTCCAAAAATAGCACAAAAAAAAGAACCATACAAGTATCATAAAAACTTCAACTCATATTCAAGTCTTCTGAAGCCTTAAGATAACATTTTGAGAAACTGATTAAAATGTATTTAATTGTAATTATTCATGTTAATATGAAAATCCTCCCCTCTGCCACAACTCTAAAATCTCTGTCATGCATGCATACATTCAAAGTCAACACGTTATGATCAGTTACGAGACATTATGAGACCAGTCGTGACTGGTTTCACTGAGTGTTTGGTATCATGTTGTGCCAAGTCTGAATATGCGAAAGTATGAATGAAGATTTGTGGGCAATGGAAGAGGGGACACAAATCCTTTGTATGACTTCAGTCATATGGACTTTAAGATACTTTATGTTGCCATTTTGTCCTTTTTAGAGCCACAATCCCAGTTCACTTTCACGATATGCAAAACAGCAGCATGAACACTGTGTGATGCTTTATATGGTTCTGTGAAGTTTTACAGCATGTGGATGAGCAAATGAATGCTCATTTCTGGATGAACTAAACCATCAAAAGTAAGATCTGAAAGAATGTTTCTGAAAGCAACATTTAGCGAACTGAAACTGTACAACTGTAAACCAAATTATAGATTAATAAAACTGCAGTGACAATGGAAGCTCTTTGGGAATAGGTACACCTTATTTTTCATATGCAAACTAATGGGCATGTATGAGGAAAGGTGAGCAGATTTGAATGAATGTGTCATGATGGTAGAGCACCTGTCTTGACAAACACAACCTGACCATTGAGCATCAATATGAGCTAATAAAGTATATGTGGATATTTATGAGTTTCCATGCACTGTTTGTCTCCCTGTGTCTTATGCATATAATAAACAGCTCTTTATTAACGCATTGTCCTTTGATAATGCACACTTTGTTCACAGGACATATGTCATTGCTTTTCTTTGAAAACCACTCTATTGAGCGACAGCATGTCTATTTTTCTATTCATCTCAACAATGCTGGATTTTTTTTTAAATCATGCACAACTAACTTCTCATAACCTGCTATATGACACCTGGTTCTGATTTCTATTGATCAGGATGTACAATAAATGCAAAAATTATTCGATTATAAACGATGCTAGTGTGTTGTGGGTAGTTGCCCAGGGTATTGCTTTGCTGATCTTCAACTGCGGGCGGAAGATCCTTTTCCTATTTAGCGCCCAGACTCTGGAATAATCTACCTGACATTGTTCGGGAGGCAGACACACTCTGTCAGTTTAAATCTAGATTAAAGACCCATCTCTTTAACCTTGCTTACACATAACACCCTAACACATTTCATATTCATTTTTAGGCTGCATTAATTAGGTCAACCGGAACTGGGAACACTTTCCATAACACCCGATGTACTTGCTACATCGCTAGAAGAATGGCATCTACGTTAATATTAGTCTGTTTCTTTCTTATTCTGAGGTCACCGTAGCCACCAGACCCAGTCTGTATCCAGATCAGATGGTCACTGTAGCTACCAGATCCAGCCTGTATCCAGATCAGATGGTCACTGCAGTCACCCGGATTCAGTACGTATCCAGCCCAGATGGTGGATCAGCACCTAGAGAGGACCTCTACAGCCCTGAAAGTCAGCAGAGACCAGGACAACTAGATGAGCCCCAGAGACAGATCCCCAGTAAAGACCTTGTCTCAGACGGCCACCGGGACAAGACCACAGGAGCCAGTTGAGTCCTCTGCACAATGTGACTTTGCTGCAGCCTGGAATTGAACTGCTGGTTTCGTCTGGCCAGAGGAGAACTGGCCCCCCGACTGAGCCTGGTTTCTCCCAAGATTTTTTCTCCATTCTGTCACCGATGGCGTTTTGGTTCCTCTGGCTTGCTTAGTTGGGGACGCTTCATTTCCAGCGATATCGTCGACTTGATTGCACAGATACTATTTAAACTGAACTGAGCTGGATGATGACATCACTGAATTCAATGATGAACTGCCTTTCACTGAAAAATGAGTGTTTACTATTGTCACTTTGCATTATTGACACTATTTTCCTAATTAATGCTGTACAGTTGCTTTGACACAATCTGTATTGTTAAAAGCGCTATGTAAATAAAGGTTGATTTGACTTGCTGTTGCTGAAGTTTTCTGAGATTGCTGATACGCAGTTATAAGGATGTTCTATATCTTTAATGTACTGTAAATCTATGGAATTTGTTCACCTCTTAATGAGATGGTTGCGCCATAGAGCACAGAGGTATTTCCCTGCTAAAAACTCCAGCATTGCCGGTCATGTTGTGTTTTGGATGCTGGTGTTCCCAGCAGGCTTCTTAACCAGCAAGATTTCCTTGCTGATTCAAGTTAAGACCATGAAGGCCATGCTGGTTGACTAGATTATTTAGAGGTAAATAGCAACCACAAGTTAGACCAGCATGAAACCTCCACTAACCAGCATTACTCAGCCTGGACCGACATGGAAATTCCTACTTTCAGCGGGGATGTGACAGTACTATCAAAATTATTCAGAGCAGAAAATGAGGCACAGGAGAACTTAAACTGGTGTTTGAATGTGTAAGAGTTTTTACCTCTGCATTTTCAAGCTGAAGAGTCTCCTTAGCCGAACTGGCATGGAAGCCATTGTTTTCTTCTGGAACAGAAATATTACAAAATAAGGGGTGTTAATAGATATTCACTCGACTTCAGCAAAAATTCTTCCCTTTTCTAGTCGCTTCTTCAAAAAAATGAGCTGTTGTGAAATCAGTGTAAATTCCTTCTGATAAAACTGAGACAATATGAACAGATCCAACAACAATCACTTTGTCTCACCTTTGGGGATAAAAATTAGGTCTCGATTGTCCGAACTGACATGCTGACTTATCTCATACAATAAAACCTCAAAAATAGTTCTCATCGAATGAACACATAAGGAGCCAGAATTACTAAACAGGGCAAATTAGCGTGCGAGCACAATCCCATAAAAGCATAGATGGGAGTGGAAAGTTATGTGGCTGATCTAGTGACAATGAGCAAATTAAAGACTTCAGACGCAGCCAGAACATTTCTATAATGACCAACACAATCTGCCAGAAGCAGTGTGCCGTCGCAAACAAGCAGAGCTGATGATCATCAGGTATGGGTAATCTACTAATAACACAAGGCACAAAATGGGTTAAGACATGTTAAATAATGGTGCAAATACCAACTGCAAACCTTAATAAATCACCTTGCATTTTAAACCTAAGTTGTCTCTCTATATCTCACAATATGTCTTAGTAAGATGTCTAAAAACTATGTTTTATGAGCCAAGCTCTGTTTCAAATCATATAATGCAATGCAACACAGTGATGACTGAGAGATGTACAAATAAATGTATGGATAAAGTAAACATAATTTGCTGCTGACCATTGCATGTTTATCTTGAAATATTACTAACAATATATAAGTTATTCTTTTGTTACTTTATGAAAACCAGTTTCAGAGTAAGGGCAGCTAAGCATAGCTTTGGCAGAATCATAACAGCGTGTTATCAAACCAGCGATTTCTACACACTTTCAGATGAACAATCTCTGCTGTTATATAAAGATAACTGTTTATAACTGTGTGTAGCTGTAGTCTACGAATGTGACAGTGGTCTTTCAAACAAGCCATTTAAAATGAAGCTAACGATTATTATTATTTGTGTATTTTTTTTTTGCATAGCAATAGAGATTACTTAGTTTTGATTGACATTCAGAATTATATTACATCCACATGACTTACATTGCTTTGGAGGTATAGTATTTTATGTTCTGTGTGAACTGAACCCATGACCTTTGTTGCTGGCACCATGCTCTATTGTTTGAAAATACATATTTTAGGACAGAGGTCCTCAATCCCGTTTCTAGAAATCTACATTTGAACCAGCTAATAAAGAGCTTTTTTCTTGACCGCTGCCACAAAACGAGTCATCTAGATGCAATTTTAGGTACAGGGCGTGAAACTGGAAGTGAGAACGCTTGCTGACACAGGAAACTATGAACATGAAGCATGCGACATATTTTGTGGTTAGTCATTATATCAAGCGCAAACAAAGAAAAACCAAAAACTTTAATTTCAAAATGGTATTAACATTAGTTACAAAGTTCGTTATGGGTCAAGTGGTAGTGAAATAGTGCATGTTAACTAATGTGGAAAGCATAAATGTAGAAAAGATGATAGAGGCCTTTATCAGTTTATCAGGGAACTCCTTTAATGCTGTGCACATCATGCTGGGACAAGAGAAGACAAACTGAAGTCAGCAACATTCAGACAAGTCTGACAAAGACAGTGATATTCACTGATTCATATCTGTAGTCGCATCAGTACATGTGACAAGTCATATTTGGATTCACTATCAATCTTACTATGATGTTTTTACACACACTGGAACTGTTCAAAGACATTTTCAAGCTACGGTTTCAAATCTGTTTTACACCAGTGTTTTGAAACACAGTGTACTCTATACCACAGACCAGTTTATGGGAAATGAGTAGATCTGGGCTGTTAGTGCAGTAGTCAGAATCTCCCCTAACACTGCAATGAGTTAAAAAGACAATGCTTTGGCTGTTGACATGTAGAGAGATTATGACAGAGAGAAGGGAAAGTAGCTACATGACCATTTAAGGTGAAACTTATGTATATGTATATTCAGTGTTGGGGTAACTCATTACAAGTAATGCGAGTTACGTAATCAGATTACTTTTTTCAAGTAACTAGAAAAGTAACGCATTACTTTTTTTAATTTACAAGAAATTATTTGTGTATTTTTTTTTTTGCATAGCAATAGAGATTACTTAGTTTTGATTGACATTCAGAATTATATTACATCCACATGACTTACATTGCTTTGGAGGTATAGTATTTTATGTTCTGTGTGAACTGAACCCATGACCTTTGTTGCTGGCACCATGCTCTATTGTTTGAAAATACATATTTTAGGACAGAGGTCCTCAATCCCGTTTCTAGAAATCTACATTTGAACCAGCTAATAAAGAGCTTTTTTCTTGACCGCTGCCACAAAACGAGTCATCTAGATGCAATTTTAGGTACAGGGCGTGAAACTGGAAGTGAGAACGCTTGCTGACACAGGAAACTATGAACATGAAGCATGCGACATATTTTGTGGTTAGTCATTATATCAAGCGCAAACAAAGAAAAACCAAAAACTTTAATTTCAAAATGGTATTAACATTAGTTACAAAGTTCGTTATGGGTCAAGTGGTAGTGAAATAGTGCATGTTAACTAATGTGGAAAGCATAAATGTAGAAAAGATGATAGAGGCCTTTATCAGTTTATCAGGGAACTCCTTTAATGCTGTGCACATCATGCTGGGACAAGAGAAGACAAACTGAAGTCAGCAACATTCAGACAAGTCTGACAAAGACAGTGATATTCACTGATTCATATCTGTAGTCGCATCAGTACATGTGACAAGTCATATTTGGATTCACTATCAATCTTACTATGATGTTTTTACACACACTGGAACTGTTCAAAGACATTTTCAAGCTACGGTTTCAAATCTGTTTTACACCAGTGTTTTGAAACACAGTGTACTCTATACCACAGACCAGTTTATGGGAAATTAGTAGATCTGGGCTGTTAGTGCAGTAGTCAGAATCTCCCCTAACACTGCAATGAGTTAAAAAGACAATGCTTTGGCTGTTGGCATGTAGAGAGATTATGACAGAGAGAACGGGCCATTAACTCTTAAAAGACCATTTGAATAAGAGAAATGGCAAACAAAAGTGGTAGCTAACTTTTGAACGAAACACAAAACTGAGCTTTTGTGGGTATATTGTTAAACATAGACACTTACCGCCGCCGGACCAGCCAGTTCGGTCCATTTCTATAAGCGTCTCATCACTCGACTTTCCTCGATTCATTTTAATCAAGTGTCCTGATTTCTATTAAATGTGGATTTGTTGTAGTTGTAGAATCAAAGCGCGTTCTGCCAGGGCTCCGTCCGAGCCCACGCCCGTGATCCGATCTCTGCCCTGCCCCGTTCACTCCACGCTCAGCGGGTCAGATCTGCCCACTCCGGTTTGTCTTGGGTCTCTGTTGGCGATCCCTACTATGGCTATGAGAATATCTCTTCTATTAATATGTATGACCAAAGGCTTCACTATTGGACGGTTAAATGAAAACGTCAGCATAGACTAATTAATATTAAAGCACTGCTGGTCTTTTGCATGGGGAGGCTGCAAAGCAACGCCCGCCGGGGTCTGTTCACTCTCTCTTCTTGCTTTAAAGGGGACGGATGTAAAACGACCGCAATTTTGTCGGCACACTATAAAAGGGACGCACATAATTCTTACCCTCCATGTTTGTTTTAATCGTTTTACAAGTTTATGGTCTATATGAAATTCAGTGGAATATCATCATTCTTAAAAGCTTAAAAGCTGACTACAAAATAATACAATATCGTGTTATGTAGCTCAGAAGTTCTTTCTTTCTTTCTTTTATTTTGAACATGATTGCTATTTACTTTAGGTTAATGTTTATGGTTTGGTTTAATGTTAATCTTAATTAAGGTCCACACTTACTGTTTTTTTATTTACGCTGTGATGGACCTCAGTAGATAATGATATCACGTATCTGTACTGTAAATCTGTTTTAATTGGCATTCAATTAAATTTGCTGTCTACACTGACCAAAGGTCCATAAGTCAAGTCAAGTCACCTTTATTTATATGTAATACAGATTGTGTCAAAGCAGCTTTACACACATAAGTTCTTAACTAAGTGTGTGTGTGCATGTTTATGTGGTTTATGAGGACACAAATTTGTATAATGACATGGGTATGACATAGGTATTACAACGAGAAGGGGATTTATGAGGACATTGTCAGTGTCCCCGTAATTCAAAAGGCAAAAATCTAAAAATGCAGAAAGTCTCATGTAAGGGGTAGGTTTAGGGGTAGGGTTGGTGTAGGGCAATAGAAAATACAATTTGTACAGTATAAAAACCATTACGCCTGTGGAGAGTCCCCATAAACCATAAAAACAAACCTGTGTGTGTGGGGGGGGGGGACAATATCTTCCCACAAACATATCAATATCCAAAATCCTTGTCCTTGCGGGGACATTTTTTGGTCCCCATGAGGAAACAAGCTTATAAATCATACAGAATTACATTTTTTGAAAATGTAAAAATGCAGAGTTACCTGAGGGGTAGGTTTAGGTAGGGTCGGGGTAGGGTGATGGAAAATACAGTTTGTACAGTATCAAAACCATTACGCCTGTGGAATGTCCCCGTAAAACATGGAAACCTAACATGTGTGTGTGTG